GAACCCCCTGACCCCCCGGACCCCATGGCGCCCACGCTCAGACGTAGGAGAGTGGGGCGCCCACACTAGCCCTCGGGTAATGGATGCGGGGGAATCCATTGCCCGCCATTGAGGGCGGCCTCCCCCCGTGACGGAGCTGCCGAGGCAGCTGGCGCAGACAGGTCCGCGGACGACAACGAAAGCGTATCCGTGGTACCGTCCCGATGCGTTGGAGGAACAGAGGGGTTCCTCGTTACCCTAACTTATGCTATGTCAGGGACTTGGGGTGCGGGAATATCTTTATTTTAAGTGTTTAAAAATCAATTACATAGTCTTAAAATTATATCACATACTTTTCTTACATCTAGGTTAAAAAACATTAAAACAATTAAAAAATGTAAAATTAAAAGGTTAAAAAGTGAAATCTGTATACAAGTTAAAAACATTTTAAAATAAATCCAATAAAATAATAAACACTATAGGCACAGAGGCGTTCAGTGGGTATGCCTCCGCTATGGAGGAGCAGGAGGTTGCCGATTGCAGAAGGGTTCATCGTCCACTTTTCAATCTTCAAATGACAATTCAATCTTCAAGTAACGCGCGATGGTTCAATGTCCGTTCCAGTCGGCACCCACAGCAGAAGTGTTCTGCTGCCGTGCCTCGGCTGGTAAGGTGTTGACCCGTCGAACGCCGACAGACGGCGGAGGCGTCACTTTCCGTAGTAAACTCAACTGCCGCAGAAACAGTCGGAGAAACACTTTTCTCGACGACAAAGTCCAGGCAACTCGATCCGTCTTCACTTCACGACTATATTCGTAACAACTGTCAAAACGCCTTATATAAAGATGGTGCCTCGACCCCTCTCAAGCCCACCTGGCTCTGCTCTGATTGGTCGTTAGTTAAATTACGATAATAATGTTATTTAGTCTAGGAGAAACGTAACTTATAAAGTAAGATCAAATTAAAAGTTATTAGAAGCTTTTACAATATCAATAAACATTAAACATTGCACACTATGCGTTAAATAGTAATTCAGTTGACACTGGCTACTTAATAACTTCCTACTTTAAATATAATCACAATGGCTTCCTCCGAGATGGTAGGGTGATGTCAATATAAGATCCCGCACCCTCATTTTCGGGCCACACTCGCCACCGAACACTGAAGCCAGCGGAAGCTCTGCCCGTTTGACTAGCCAAAATAATTAATCATTTTAACTCTGATAGTTGATCAAGTTAATGTTATATTTCGAAATCATTTAAGTGTTAATTTAATTCAATCAATTTTGTTAGTTTTCTTATTAAATCAAAAAGTACTGTAGTAGTGTATAAGAGATTGTTTTTTTTAATTTTCCCTGCTTCTGATCCTTAAGATCAGAAGTGGGATAGTGAAACTCCCACGTCCTTGTTTGTACATCCTGATACGATGTGTTTCCATTGTTATTTCTTTAATTGGCTAGTCATACGATCAGAAACATATTTTTGGAAATTGTAACTACCCTTGTTTAAAAGTACAAATTAACCCTTTGTTTTCGGTGTTTCGTATAATATACGTAAGTAAGACGTGATGTGACTGTGTGATCAAGTTTTATAATGTCAACTTTGGTGAGTACGTTCCAATTGTTTTCTTCTCTGCTTTAAAGTAACAAATAGTAGTTGTATTTGTTAGCTTTTTGTGTAAATTTTAGAATGGCTCAATTTTAATATTTTGTCGTGTCTACCCTATTGATCAATTATTTACCGTAACTTGAATGCCCTGCTTGGAATTACGTCTAATTTTAAATACTTGCTAAAAAAATAAAACATGCCTAATAAGAGGCGGCAGAGTAGGAGTCGGTCGCGAAATCGCAGATCGCTTTCTAGCCAACATGATTCACGCTACAGACGACGTAGCCCTTCTAGCAATATTTTAACCGAAACAATATACAAATTTTGAATAGATTGGTGTCATTAGAGGAACAACAGGTAGTGTCTTCATCTCAACGAAAGGAGTCTAGTGGCCGCGCTGCAATGGAAGTAGCCAAGTCCGCGGTGCCTGTGGCAACCATCAGCGCCGAGCCGTTCTTGCCGATGAGCCTGCCGTGTCGATGCCGCCGCCGTTGCAGTTGGGCGAAGCTGTGACTGCGAGCTCGCTTCAAGGGCGCGCTTCAGTCTTCAACGATTCCGTCCTCACCGGAACGTCCCGCGAGCGCTACGTCAGTCCAGGCCAGCGCCGCCGATCGCATCATCGATGCGATACGATCCATAAATATACCGGTGAGATCTAACCAGTCTTATTATATTTCTAATTTTGATCCGAGTGTTAATGACATAGAGACATGGTGAAGAATTAGACCGTGCTAGGTCTTCTATTAATTGGAGTAATCACGAGTGTCTTTCTCGCGTTGGCAATTGTTTACAAGGATGCTAAAACGTGGCTCAGTGAATGGGTAACGAATGACCGCAGTTGGAGTAATTTTAAAAACGAATTTAAGCCTTTATGTCTTTATAAGAAATTTTTTTATAATATTATTATATTTTAAATCTAACCTTATTTGATAAGAATATTGTAGTTTCAGTGTGAATTGTGGGATGAAGTGTATTATAATTTTGAGTTAGAAAGCTTATGTTTTCTTCTGAGAAGATTTCCAAGAACCATGTGGTAATTACATTGTGTTTTTCTAATACAATAGTACTATATTTTGTATTTTTTGTTGTTCTGACTATTATTCTATCTCACTACATATCAAATAAAGTATCAATGACTACACTTGATATTTTATGTACGTAAATAAATCTTATTCCATATTTACGTTAAAATGTTGCTAAATGTTTTTATATTCGTAATTACTTAGTAAAAGTCAATGAAATGAAGGTTCGCTTTAAAATTGTATAGAAGTTCTTAATAAAATAACAGGTAATGCTTCACAAAACCGAATCAAGCCAAATTTCCATTACATATGTCTTAAACGATAGGGAATATTCTTACACTGTTTTGGAAGTTTTTTTGGAGTCGTAATTTATGTTGGAAAAAAAGGAAGAAAACTACATATGTTAAGTTAAGTTTGGAACAATAAAAAAAAAGGAACAATAGAAAAGCGCAGGATAAGTAAAGCTAGGTTTATAACATGTAATAAAACACCAAAAGCAAACTGGAAAGGTTAGGTTTGGAACATTTTTAATACCATAAAAAACATCGAAAATGCGAAAATATTTTCTATTATAATTCATGTTATATTATAAAAATTGTGAGTGTCAGCATACCTGTGACAAAACTGAAAACATATGAAACAATTTTATTATCTCACTGAAATAAATTAAGACCCCGAAAAAAATCTTCATAGTAATATATTCATCTTCAGCAATCTTCATAGCAATAATACTCATGGTGACCATTTCCTAAAGTTTAAAATTGATTTTTACGAAAACTTGTACGAAATTTATTATTAAAAAGTACACATCTTTAGGTTTGTTTATAATAAAATTATGAATAACATCAACAATATATGATCTTATGAAAATAAAGATATCTGTAATTGTTCATTTTTCTAACAAAACTAAGTTACCAGCAGTTACATCCAACCAACCTCTGAAGTTTCTGTAACTTATTAAATAATAAGAATAAGCTTTACAGTTATAATTAATTACAAAGGAAGAACATTGTATGAACAACTTATCAATTTTTAATACTTTCTGTTTTTAGGTGTGAAACAAGTAAAAAGTAGTAGAAAACATAATCTATGGATTCACAGAAATATAATTTGAATAAAGATATAATTTTACATTCTATTCATATTTAAAAGAACTAAATGTTGAACTAGAACTTTGACCTTTTGCTGATTGCTAAAAAATAAATTTACAACAAAAATTGATGAAAATAACATAAAAGTAAGTACAAGACATATGCCAAATTCGACATGGTAAGTGGTAAATATTAAGTAATTCCCAAAGCACATATTTCCAGCAATTACTTGAACAATTTTAACCTTTTAAATTGGCTTGATATTTAGTATAAAATGGTTTGCTAGAAACATGAAAAAGATTCAATAATAAAGATTAACTTAAACATTATTTAGGTTGTGTGTAGAATATCTCTCTATTATTGTTTCAAATATTGTAGATCAACCCAATTTATATACTATTTTATATATTATTTTATATACTCTTTGGATAACCTGTAAATTGGTCATGTCATGGCAAGTTTTTATATACTCTTTGGTTCATTGGTTGGCAGAACTGTATTTCAATTTCAAACGGTTTTCGATTGTGGCCTGTTCTATGGCGTTTGACAAATTTACGAAACTTTTCAAATAAAAGTGAATTTCTCCACAAATATGTCAATTTTTACGGAGTTAATACCTAAAATTAATCAAATATCACAAGATTTCAGTAGAACGTTCAATGAAAGCCTTAAGGTAAAATTTTACGTCGTGTCTTTTGAGTAACCGCCATTTATATATTAACCGAAATAAAAAGTGTTATGGAGTGTTAATTTATTGTTCTAGTGCCATTAATAATAACTAAACATATATTTTTGAAAATACATTAAGAAGTGTTAATCCGTATTTACAGGAGGCGCTTGAGTGTTTTGATAAGTTTGAAGCTGATTTCGATAATGTAAAAAAACAAGCGCGAGAGAAGATCATAAAAGAGAAAACAGTTCTAACTAAACTCCAAAGCATTAACGAGGATGATGGTAAGTTGCGAACATTGACTATTAATATATTACATACTATCGATACAGTAAACAAAAAAATATCACTGATTACTTAAACTTTTCCTGTTTGTTAATTTTTAGTCGTCAGTTCAGATGATTCATGCTTATGAAAAGTTCTGTTTAAAGGTGATACATTATATCTAAAATACAATAAATTATATTTACCACAAATAGTGTTTTGTAAAAGTTTAAAAAGTTTAGTGTTGATACATACTAAGACTGTTTAGTCTATATGAATTTCAATGTTTTTATGTTTCTACCCGATGCATTCATAATGGCCTTAATAAATGTTGATAAAACTTGGTAAGAATCTGAGGATACATACTAGTTTCAGCTTAAACTAGATCCTTTTACTTAATACTTACTGGACTTGTAATCAAAACACAAGGCATTCTTTACATTACCACTACAGTAGGACTGTAGCACTGGCCTTGTTGGGATTATTTTGACTCCCTGGTGCCAGTAGAATGCCAGTGACACTGAGTGCAACTATCCTAGTGTGCTGGAATCATCAATCATTAATGAATATGCTTAGCTAGTGCTTCCTTCCCAAAATAACATGATACAACTTTTACAATAGTTCAAGTTCCACACAAGTTCCTTCTTTGTACAACATTTTAAACACATTTTTGTTTAATTTAGGTGAAGCAAAAACACCAGATGAGAAAGTGGAACAAAAAGTGTTTGCTAAACCTTCAGAGAGCTCTGAAGATACAGAGAAGGAAGATGCTCCTCCAAAACGAGGATCAAAGAAACGCAGCAAACATGAAGTTGATGATATGTCAAGTCCGGAAGTTGATAAACGGCAGAAGAGAAACGCTTCTGTTGTTGCTAAGAACATAATTAGTAAACAGGTATATTTTGAAATTTATTTAAAATGGCAACACTTACAAACATTATGGGGTTGGCACATAATCTGCAATATTTAGTTTTAGGTTTTAAAAACCTTATTTAACTACTTCATTTGTACAACCAACTGCCTGCCTGTTGCCAACCCTACTTGAGATGCATAAATAATAAAAGGCCAGCAACACATCTGCAATTCCTCTGGTGTTGTGGATGTCCATGGGCATCAATGATCACCTTGGTGTTCCTGATGCTCCTTTGCCCCATCTTTTATAAAAAAATACTCTGGACAATTAATGAAACATGCCTTGGTCATTTTAAAAAGGAAGATTATATACATATTCTTATATCAGTAAAATTTTTATTTAAATATTTTTTTTTAGTCTTTCATTCTTTAGAATTACTAAATATGAAACTAAATATGAAGTATTTTATAATTTACAATGAAATAAAATTAATTTGTTTATAGACTAATGAAAATATGAATGTACTTAAGGAGAATACAAAGACAGTTGAAAAACTGGTAATTACAAAAACATATTTCCAAAGTACTTGTATATAGTTGATCTAAAATATTTTAATAATATATTATATACTAGCATTTCCCCATAACATTGTTTATTAAATTAAAAAACATAAGAAAAGCTTTTAAGTAAACAATGTGTTCTTGCAAACTATGTTCTACATCTTTACCAAATAACATCCATATCCATATAGCGGATTATCTATAGGATATTCTGGAGATACCTTCTAACAAACATTCATCCATACATCCAAACATTCACATTTATGATAGTAGTAAGATAAGATTTAAAAATGGCAAAACATCATAAAAATATTCAATGCCTTTAATTGTTTAATAAACGTTTTTCAGTAAAACCACTAAACTATTATTTTGTTTACAGGTCAACGTAAATCTAACTCAAAAACTTCGTAGAGAAGACTCTGATGATAAAACTCAGTCAAAATCTAGAAAGAACAAAGATGAAAATAAAGAAAATACTGAACCAATACCTGTTGTACAAAGTAAGTATTTAAAATCATTATTTTTTTTAATTAATAATATTATATTATGTATAGTCAAACCTTGATAAGCGGGAATACATGAAGAGTAATAATATTAACTATACCATAAAAAAACTCATTAATAATAATAATACCTAGATTTGCCTCATGAGGTTACCACCATGTGGTGTATGAAATCGACTACCATTATTCCGATACTCGTATCAGTGAATAGACTAATAGCAAAGAGCTTCGACCAACATCTCAAGAAGCTCTCGCTAAACAGTTGGATTAAGGGCCTGATACAAAAGTTATCCTAGAAGCCGCACACATCGTGAGAAGGTTCCTGTCTCTGCAGCCCTCACTACTGCTTGTTTGAGTCATGGAACTCCGCAGCCGGTGGTGCTCTATTTTTAATATAATATATTTTGTATATAATAAAAATAAATGAATACGTCTATAATAATAACACGTTTAATCCGTTCAAATATATTTCTTATAACATCCCGTCGCAGGCCACAACAAAAATATATATTAAAAAATGTATTTAGTATTAAAAATATTTAGACCTTTAATGGAATACATGTATAGAAAATATTATTAATTACAATATTTTTCAGTTAAACAAGAAAAGTTGTCCATACTGCCCGAACCAATGGAAGATGCGATCCTGCCAGTTGATATTGTGGTTAAGCAGGAAGTGAATAAGGATGATATTGCTATGCCGCCGCCCGCCGCCCCTGTACCCAGTAAGTTATATCATGTTTATCTAGGTTAGGTTAAACTATTCAAACTTTCGTGAGACATTATACTAAACTGATATAAAAACGGATAAACACTCTAGTATATTCGTCCGGTGGTGGCACCGACTAGTTTCGAGCTCATCGGGGGCCCTTCATCAGAGTGAGTGGGACTGGTAATATTTCGCTGATGCGGCCCTCAGCTCGCTCCAGATGAAGGGCCCCCGATGGGCTACTTAACGAATATACGTCAGTCACCGTGAGGCATCTTCCTACCTATGTCTATTTTTTTCATTTTGTAATGTTACTTGTCTATCTTACTTCTTACTAATATTGTAATTTCAAAAATTTGAATGGATGAATGTTTGTTAGAATGTATCTCCAGAATGGCTCAATAGATCACGCTGAATTTTAGCATAGATGCAGAACATTGTCTGGAAGAAAACATAAGCTACTAATTACCTTTTTTAACACCGCGCAGCCGAAGTCGCGGGCTACAACTAGTGTTGACTATTTTGTTGTAATCTGTAATCAGGCAATTTAAATTCTACATTGGATAGTCAGATCAGTTTTAATCAAATTTTTGATATATTTTCAGAAGCAAGAAAAGCTGTATTAAAAGAAAAAGAAGCTGTTCCTCAAGAAGAGGAATCAGGCAGGAGGAGGACGAGGACTAGGAAACAGACAGACACGTTGCCAGCGCCACCTGGTGAGTACAAAACCGGTTATAACAACATCTTGGGGATCTGCAATATTTAGTCTTAATAACTGACTAGTGATTCCAGTCAAGACCCGACAAAATCAGTCCAGGCGGTGATTAGGCAAGCCAAACAAGCAAAAGGCCACCGCCGAAATAGCGAAGCGATTGCTAGTCAAAGACATGCGCAATCACACTTTTGATCAACGGAGGAAGGGACACACAGGAAGAGAATATTTCCCCTTCCTATGCATCCCCTCCGTCAAATCTATCCATTATAAGAAATGATTGGGAAGAGAAAGAAGGCTTTATTAAGGCCTCCTGCAAACGCATCAGGCATAACGTGGTTTAAATCTGGAATAGCATATAAAATCTACTAATATCTAACAGACGAAGTCACAAGAGATAATAATATATTAATAAAAATTCCAGTAACATCATCCAGAGCTACCCGGGCTAGTTCTAGAAATACACAGATTGCTGAACCTGAAGATGTACCGACTACAAAAGATGCTAGACCCAAACGGACTAGGGGCAGAAAGGTATGTATCATTTTTTCCTTTATCAAGTAAATTCAAATACAGGCTGTTTCTTTTTTTTTCAATAATATGTTTTTTTTTTCTTTTCAGAAAGTTTCAGAAGTCAGTTCAGATACTGAAAAAGAAAGTCATGTAACTCAAGATAGTGGATTAGGTAATTTTTTTTAAATTTTGTTCCTGTTTGTTTTATATCACAAATATTGTGATATTAATCTAAAAGGGAAGGCAGAGATAACAAATTAATATAGGAATTTCAGCATGATCCATGCAGCCTATATTTAAACATTTGCATTTATAATATTAGTATGTTTAGTAAAATAGTAAGGTGTAAACGTTTGGATGGATGGATGTTTGTTACTACGTAACTCCAAATGCCTCAAACAATCAGGATGGGTATTAGAATTGGGATTACAGTCTTGGTTAATAATAAAGTGTTTTTATAACATCGCGCAACAGTCGCGGGAATCCATTGTATAATATTTTAAAACTAAATTTTATTCTTGTATTGTTCAGGATCTCCCAGCGATAAACCTAGACCTAAACGGACAAGAAAGGGACAAAAGGCAGCGTAAGTATATTTTTAATAACACTATTTGTTTGTAAAAAAAACTAGACTATGACACTCTTGAGAATGCAAAATCAATGACACTTAATTCTAAATATTTGTTTAATCGTTTAAGCTATAGGATGTCACAATTTCATACATACATAAGAGCGCCGGTGGCTCAGTGGTTAAAGCACTTGGGTTCGAATCCCGGCATGTACCAATGTCTTTTCCGATTTACATATGTACTTACGTTGGTACGATATAGGAGAACATCGTGATGCTGCACATATCTGAGAAGAAATTCAATGATATGAGTGAAGTTAACCCGCACTGGGCCAGTGTTTGACTGTGGCCTAGTCACCCGTACCTTAGGGTAGGCTCCGAGCTCCTCACTGGGAATGTATTGTGAGCTGATGATGATAAAACATACATACAAACAGAAAGAATGATATATAATCCAAAAACAATATCTACTTCATTCAGCAATCTTTTTTTGTTTTCAGTGAGAAAGAAACCAAAAAGGAACAAGAGAAAGTCGCAAAAGAAGATATAAAAGAACAAATTTCTCCAAAAGAAGAACCAGAAATACTTTCACCGATATTAGAAAGTCATATTAAAACGAACATTAATACTAAAGTGATACAATCTAAATTACAAGAGGAAATTGATACAAAGAAAGAAAATATAGAACTTAACAAAGAAGAAATAGAGGCTAAAATTGATGGAGAAAATAAAGAAATACATACAATAATGAATAGTACAGTTGTGTTACATAATGGAGTTGTTCAGGAACAGGATACACCTAAAGTAGTGGTAAGTTTTTTTACTAATTACTAGCTGTTGCCCGCGACTTTGTCCTCGCGGATCTAAAAAATGTAATTAGTAGTCTATGTGTTCTTCCAGACTATGTTCTATATGTATGACAAATTTCATCGAGATCTGTACAGCTGTTCTGGAGATATTCAAACAAACATCCATCCATACATTCACATTTGTAATATTAGTAAGATATTATAGTAAAACTAGTTGTCCTGCGACTCCGTCCGCGTGCAATTAACGTCCATCCATACATCTAAACTTTTGCATTTAAAATATTAGTATAATATGATTAATGTATGCAGTAGAAGAGCAAAATTTTGATTATGAATTTACGTTTCACTAAATTCAAATTATTTGTTAAAAATCAGTTTAATTATTTTTTGTTATATAAATGCGAATGTTTAAATGGGTAGCTGTTTGTTAGAAAGAAACCCAGAAATGCTTGGATCTCTCTAAAATTTGTCATAGATGTAGAACATAGTGTGAGAGAACACTTAGTCTACTAATTCAGTTATTTCTTAGTCCACTAAGACGGACTAGGTAGGTGTAGCATTCGTTGCGTTATATTTAGCTCGTTCACGTACCAACACGGGTTGTATGCATACTCTACAGTAGGTTTTAATCATTTTTGTTGTCTTCCAGAGGGTAATGGATGAAACAGTAGTGATAGAGAAACGTAAGAATGACAGCACGGCTCCAGAACATCCCCCCTTCACTATGGATACCACGGTGGTGCTGGACAAACCCACTCTGCCTATGGATACAACAGTCATATTGGATAAGACGAGGAATATCGCAATGGATGCTACCGTTGTACTCGAAAGATGTAAGTTATGTTAAAAATATAGATTTTTTAAATATTTTCCTTGAAATAAGATCCAAATTTTACGTTTTTATGTCTAAAAAAAATTTTTTAATAGATACATCTTGTATTTTAAAAAAAAATTAATTCTTTATATGTGAAATAAACTAACTTTATTACATAAAAAAAGCAAAAAAAAAAAATATAATTTTTGTAGTTTAAGACTTTTTTCTTGTAAATAATATACAAAGGAAGTTAAATTATATTTTATAGTATTTTTTAAGATTTTTTGTTTTTTTTTTTTTGTTAATATGCAATATTTTCCTTCAGTGCCAATAGAGCCGAACATAACAGAAGACAATTCTCTGTTGACTGATGACAGTGACACACAGGAGGGTGTCACCACACCAACAAAACCCATACCAAATAATCAACCTCTGTAAGTTATATTGCCTAAATTATAATTAACTAGCTGTCGCACGCGACTCGGTCCGCACTCAATTAAAAAATAAATATCCTATGTGTTCTTCCAGATTACGTTTTACATTTATGCCAAATTTTAGATTAAATCTGTTAAACCATTCTGGACATCTTCAAACATTCGCATTTATATTAGTAATAACATAGGAAAAGCTTTAAAAAAAATTATAAAATCATTTTTTTTTTAAATTATATTTGATTAAAAGTAGAAACACGAATAAATACAATTAAAGAAATGCACACGAAAATATTTATAACAGGTCAGCTGTCAAAGAGAAAGTACAAAAGTTTGAGGAGCTCGCTGCGAGGACAACAAGGACTAAGACAAGGGCTATGGCTAAAAAGGTTGGTAGAAGAACAATCTCTAACTTTTTTCATCATATTAATGAACATGGTAAACGAAAAAACAACATGAATTCGCTGAAATAGCGACCACGGACATAGACATCCCATTGCAGAAACCTACCTTTAATTGCGCACAGAAACAATATTTTCCCTTCCTGTGTCCGCTCTTTTGTCAATATCACTTCCCCTTCCCATCTTTACCTTCTAAGAAAATTACGTTCCCTTACCATTTTTTTTCTAAGACAACTATGTGGCCCCATCCATTCTTATCTTCCTAGAAAAGGATGAGAATAGAACGTAGTTTAATTACAAGAACAGTGGAAATGCACCTTCATGTCGTTATTTTTGTTCCAGGACGATGTAACAGAAAATGTGACACCTCCAGATAAAATATCCAAAGTGATTCTGTCAGCGGAAAATCTCAGCAAAATGAACTGTATCATATTCAATGGGAAAACAACTCAGGTGATTGTAATAACATATATATCATGTATGTTCTATGATGAAATCTAGTAGAAAAACATATAAAACCTTTAAATCAACTGAAAAAATATAAATTAAAAAAAAATACCTAAATTACTTCCAAATACGTAAGCAACTCTTTAGTAAAAATCCCGTCAAAATCTGTTACAGCTGGAGATTACCAAAAACAAACATACACGGTATAAAAATAACTTAATTAGTAGTCTATGTGTTCTTCCTGACTATGTTCTGGTTCTGTTATACAGCTGTCCTGGAGATACCTTCAAACATCCATCCATACATACGTTCGCATTTATAATATTAGTGAGATTGAATTCTCATTGTAAGTAACGCAAATACATCATGTGTATGAAATATGATTTTTTTTGCCTCAATATAACATACAGACTCTCCAATTTTTTTATGTATGGAATATAGATATTGACATCTTACTAATATAATAAACGTGAAAGTATGAATGTATGAATGTTTGTTAGAAGATATCTACAGAACGGCCGCATGGACAGATATACAAAATAGTCTGGAAGAACAGATTTACGGATTTTCAAATTAAAAAAAAAAGTCATAAACAAAGATTTCTGAATATTACAAATGTATATAGAAATTAAAATAAATATTTATTGATTTGCTACTATTATTATTTTAATTCTGTGCATATGAAGTCGCAGGCAACAGCTAGTATTTAATTTTTCCTTTCTTCCTTTAGGTAACAAGTTCAGCGACAAAACCTAAATCAAACATTCCTACATACAAATCTACGTCATCGTCTACTTCCAAACTCAGTGGTTTGACAAAAGCGCGAGAAGCTGCAGAGGAATTTCAGAGAACTGAGAAAGAAGATGCAAGAAGGAAGAAGGAGGCAATTCTAGAAGCGAAGAGAGAAGCACAGAAAAAGTAAGTTAATGTCACGACTGTAACCCAGAGGTGTAAGCAGAGATCTTACTTCCATTTGACTTGGTCAAACGAATCTCAATTTTTGGAATTTAGGGCGACGGAACTTAAGTGGAGAGTCATGTCGCCATTTTGTTGAAAATGTTAAATAGTTTTGTTGCATGCTTATTCAGAACGGTTCCTGTGAAATATCACGACACAGAACACACGCATAAGTGCTGGAATATGAAACATTAGCTGTCGCCCGCGACTCCGTCCGCGTGGTGTTAGAAACAAAACAAAATTAGTAGCCTAAGTGTTCTTCTAGACTATGTTCTATATGCCAAATTTCATCTAGATCTGATCACCCGTTCTAGAGATACCTTCAAACAAACATCCATCCAAATATTCACATTTATAATATTAGTATGATTTCTACTTGTTGTTAAGATGGCGCTAAAGTTATGTCTTTTAACATATTTAAGGAAGCGTGAAGAGAAGATGGCAGCAGCAGCAGCAGCCCGGGAGCAGGCGGAGCGGGAGAGACGTGCTGCGCTGGAGGCGGCGGCGCGCGGCAGGCAGGAGAAGCAGGCGCACGCTGACCAGGGCAAGATCGACAAGTTGAAGGAAGTCGAGCGGGTTAGACTGATCTGATGTATTCCTAGACTTGGTCACGCAGACAAACGATTTCTGTGTAAAAGTAGTATACCTTTGGTTACATCCTTTAAATAATGTAAATATTCGCCTTCGACTTTGGAAGCGTAGAATTAAAAAAAAGTGAATGTAAAGTAGCCTATATGGCTGTCTTCATCAGCTACCTTCCAGTCAAATTCCTAACAAAATCGGTCCAGCTGTTCCGGAGGTTAGCCGGAATAAATACATTTTTGTAGACTGACACAAAAATTATAAATTTTCTCCATCTGCAAGGTTGCGATATAGGACATTTTTTTGTCACTACAAATTCATCAATATTTATAGACTAGCTGTCGCTCGCAACTCTGTCCGTGCGGAATTTAGAAAAAAACTTAATAGCCTATGTGTTCTTTCAAACTATGTTCTATATGTATGCCAAATTTTATCAAAATCCGTTAAAAAGTTCCAGAGATACCTTCAAAAAAACATCCATCTAAACATTCACATTTATAATATTAGTAAGATAAAGCAAAGTAATATACTGGTTTTTAATGTTAATAGAAAAAGCAAGAACAAGCTCGTAAGCTGGCGGAGGCAGAGGAGAGACGCAAGGCGGAGGAACAGGCGCGCGCTCTCAAGCTCATTGAAGAACAGAAGAGAGCTGAAGCAACCAGAAAGAAGCAGAGAGAGGAAGCTGAGGCGTAAGTTATTTTCTTTTAATTCTTACAAAATTAAAAAAAAGCTTAATAGCCTATGTGTTCTTCCAGACCATGTTCTACATCTATGACAAATTTCAGCAAGATCTGGGAGCTGTCCTGATGATTACTTCTAACAAACCTCCATCCATATATCTTTTGCATTTATATTAGTAAGATATGTATTGGAAATTATTTATAACCATTTTTAATTATTTTTTTTTTGTTGTAGAATGAAAAAAGAAGAAGCACAAATGCTGAAGGAAGTTCTCCAGAGACAGAAAGAATATAATGAGAAACAGAAATTGAAATATAATAATCGAAGTAAGTAGCTTTATCTTTAACTAGCTGTCGCCCGCTACTCCGTCTACGCGGAATTGAAAAAACTTAGTAGCATATGTTTTATATGTATGACAAATTTCATCGAAATCTGTTCAGATGTTCCGGAGACATCTTCAAACAAACATCTAAACATTCTCATTTATAATATTAGTAAGATCTTTCATAATATTTAAGGTTTCAATTGGAATTCCTCCTAACAGCTCATCTACATTCATATACTCACTAGCAGTGCCCGCGACTTTGTCCGCGTGAAATACTATCTTTGGGTAGAATTTTAATTATATATTCTACTCATTTTACTAACATCTATAATATATAACAACAAAACATATGAAACTCACAAAACATTCATGTAAACCTCACATATTCTAATACAAACTTTCATCCATTATTTCCTATTATTCTGCACCCTTGAGGGTAAAAATTTTACAAACATTAATTGTCATAATTATTTACAATAACAATTACGATACTATACAAATTTTCAAACCCCTTTTCAACCCCCTTACAACCCTTTTTTCGCGTTAAAAACTAGCCTATGTCGTTCCCCAGACTATACACTATCTTTGTACCAAATTTTATTAAAATCGGTTTAATAGGTTTTGCGTGAAAGAAAGACATACAGACAGTTGTTTATTTCAGTGACTCCAATAAAATCTTACCCATCCCCCTGTGCTATGGAGCCAGTGTACATGGCAGATGGCTTCCAGTTCCTCAACTCTGATGAAGATGATGATGACGATGATATAGATAAGAAGAGACCTCCCCCGCACTGGTCCACCTCTATGGTAACTATTTTTCCTACTGCAATGAGAGTCTGTGGCTCAGGAGTTAAGTACTTATGATCAGCAAATCCTGGGTTCGAATCCCGCCATGTACCAATGTCTTTTCAGATTTACATATGTACTTTATCCTATGTTCTTACGGTGAAGGAAAACATCGTGATGCTGCACATATCTGAGAAATTCAAAGATATGTGTGAAATCAACCTGCACTGGGTTGTGGTTGACTATGGCCTGGTCACTAACTTACGGTAGACTCCGAGCCCCTCAGTGGGGATATATAGTGAGCCAATGATGAATGCAATTTTGAAGCTTCAATAGCCTAATGGTTGTCCAAGGGTTTTGCAATCATGTGATGGGCAGTTCGAATCCCTCCATTCTATTGTCTTAAGCCATGTCTTAGCACAAGCATAGAGTTTACTAAGAATGTTACAAGATCAGTAAATCAACAATAAAACTCGTAATATTAAAAAAAGAAGTATATTTCTTGTCAATATTAGTAAAATAATGTCTTATTATTGCTAATATCTTTCGATATAAGCAGCATATTGTTCCTAAGTCAGTAATTACAATACGGTGAGGGTTTGTATGTCAGGAGCGTCGCCGGCAGCTGGGTGTGCAGGCGCAGCTGGAGGAGGAGGAGATGGAGCGGCTGTTCTCTATGCGGCCCCAGTGTCCCGACCTGCGACAGATCTTCCCCAACATCGACCGCGCGCGACTCAAGCGCACCTCCTCCGCGGTCTGGCGCACGCCGCCCTCCGCCAACAGGTCACTTCTCACACCTCACAACACCAGCACCACGACACCTCGACACCTCGACAAGTCACCCCACACCCTCCCACTCACACCCCCTCACTTACGGACCCCCAACAACACACGCCCACAGACCGTCAATACCTCATCGCACCAGCTCCCTGACACCTCAACAAATCACCCCATACCTTCCCACTCACATCCTCTGACAAATAACATAGAGACACCTTATGACTTTGATCTCATCCAACCCTACAGGGACCCCCTGCACATTTTAGTACCCAAAACACTACACATGGACCCCCAAGCGTACCCTATACTCGTGTCTCGAATACGCTACATAGTTACATACGACCAGATCACATAATACAACGTTTTTAAAGCACATTCCAAAACCCCTGTTTCCACTAAGCAAATGTCATAACTGCTATATATGTTATCGTAAATTCGACTATTATGTCTCTGTTTTTTTTTTCAAACAGAATAAAAGAGATAAATATATTTATTAATACAAATATCGCAAACCTACTACAAATCGTAGCCGCGTTCTGTTCGCATAGTGGAAAAGGGGTCTAAATAAATAAATGATTAACAAGTGTTGTTTCTGTTCTAGGTACCAAACATAAAGTGCTAGTTCACTTTGGTCGCTGGCGGCATGTACATATAACCCTCGCGATACTGACACAGTATAATCATGAATACATTATATACTTTGATTATAAGTTATTTAATATTCATTTTACTGTTATATATTTTGATATTAACATTTAGGTATTACTTTAAATATCATTGTTTTCATGCAGAAGAGAAATAACTACAATTCACTGTTGAAAAAAAAATTATTAAGAAATATATTAAGGACAGGTATTAAAAGATTCAATGTTAATGGTGGCTCGTGGTTCATAGCGCATGTTTGCAGAGATGTGCCTCTCATGCGCATCCCTTAGTCCAATTCAATGGAAATGAGAAATATTTATTCATGTTATCAAACAATATCCTTTATCATCTATGGATTTATTTTGAAATATTTCAATGTACATTTAGATGATACAAACATATCTGTTTTAGTAAGTCTGATTACTTATAGAGTTTAACTTGTATGTTAATAATTTGTCATTTCCATTGAATAAGTCCCGCCGATATCTAAAAATGTTTGTGCAAAATCCCGAGCTACCATAATGATTGAATAGTACTATACAATATTTGTCTTAAGTGTGTTGCAAACATTTGGCTCATGTAATTTAGGATAAACTTACAAATATCGTATTATTTTAATTATAAGATGTTAAAAGCCTAAATTGATTTCACAGAACATGTGAAATTGTTATAGATGAAGTATTTAAGTTTGTTTTTAATTTGACTAGATTTATATATAATTATAACTGTCTGTCAGTGGAAGTCAATCTTACATCGAATATCAGCTTTACCTAGATTTCATGGTTAACGGTATTTGAAACAACTTAGAAATTATAATTATAAAAAAGGCGAAGGTAAAAAAAGGTTGACTACCTCTGTTAATGACTAGGAATGTAATACGGTGTTGCCAATCGAAAAATTTCTCAAAAGAGTGTTTTAAAATTTTTTTGAAAAATGTTTGTGTTCGTTTTGTGGAAAATATTTTTTTGATCAAATTTGTAATGATTACGCACGGGGGCAGTGATGTTTTAGAATAATTTTACCGTTAAGACTGCTATGGAATATAAATAAATGTTTTAAATTTTATAATCTTATTTATTTTTAATCTAAACCCAAAATAAAATTAAGTTTCAAAGAATATGGAGGAAACAGCACTATCTTAATCTTACTGTTATAAATGCGAATGTTTGTATGTTTGTTTGAAGGTATCTCCAGAAACACTCAACGGATCTCTGAAATTTGGCAGAAATGTAGGACATAGGCTATTTATTAAGTTTTTTTTTTTAATTCCGCGCGGACAGCTATTTGCAACTTATAACATCTGTGATTTTAAAAAATCTGAATATTTTTTGTTGATTTTACCAGCACTATTTCATTAGTTTAGATAGATGGATGTTGGTTAGAAGGTATCTCCAGAATGACTCAACGGATCTCATTAAAATTTAAAACATAGTCTGCAAGAACACTAAGGCTACTTAGTTTTTTAATTGACGGAGTCGCGGGAAACAGTTAAACTTACTAATATTATAAATGCGAAAGTTTAGATGGATGGATGTTTGATTATATCTCCGGAACGGCTCCACGGATTTTGACGAAATTTGACATACATGTAGACAATAGTCTGGAAGAACACATAGGGTACTTATTAAGTGTTTTTTAAAGTTCCGGACGCAGTCGCGGGCGACAACTAGTAATGGAAATAAAACAATAACATCTATACAATACTTTATTGCTAACCACCACTGTATCACTGACATAACAAACCTTCAACACTATCTAAATGCATTGACGAAAGATGTTGAAGCCAGTTCGTGTATTGCGTGTTTCCGTCAACACATTCAAACAATGGGAATGTCGGCATCTGTATTTTTAAAGAAAAAAAAACAGATTTCAAAAATAAATATAAAGATTAAACATGATTTTGACACTAGTGGCTGAACGTTATACTTTTGTCTATTGCAACAAGATGGCAGATTCCCGCGCAAATCGCTGTCACGTCTACTTCAAGAAAAACGTTAAGATTAACAATGATTTTGTAAAGATTTTTATTCCAAAGCGGCAGCACCAGAGATAATTTCAATGAGTTCTCTGGTGATAACAGCTTGGCGAGTTCTGTTGAAGGTCAGAGTGAGTTTTTCAATCATTTCTCCTGCATTCTTGGAGGCGTTGTCCATGGCCGTCATACGGGAGGATTGCTCGGAGCACGCGCCTTCCTTCAGAGCGTAGAACAACATGGAGGCGAGAGAGAATTCCATGTACGACTGCAGGACATCACTGTCCAAAGAGTCGTACACGGCAAGTTTAGGTGCCGCCTGGAAAAATAAATAACGTTATTGTCTATTGTACAAGAATATTTAACCAGAGAGAAAGTAACCGGTGACATGATTAGTTCTTGTACTGTCAGCTGCAAAAACACCGTAGCAAATATGATATGCAAATATATAGGAACTCCTAAAGTAATATAAGTTCAACAAAAGTCCTGAAATTAATAAATTTTTTGGAGTTATATAATTGATTACATTCCATATCTTGTTTGCTACAGTCTTTTTGCAGCTGACTGTACTGTATTGTTCACTAGGTTCACCATTTAATGTATTAAAACAGAGATTAGAGCCAAATAATTTCCTAACTAGCTGTCGCTCGCGACTCCGTCCGCGCGGAATTAAAAAAAACCTTGATTAGTAGCCTTTGTGTTCTTCCAGAGTATGTTCTATCTGTACATCCTTCCATCATTATCTTACTAATATTATAAATGTGAATGTTTTGATGGATGTATGTTAGAAAGTATCTCCAGAACGGCTGCATGGATCTTGCTGAAATTTGGCATCTACATCAGAATTCCGGGCGGATGAAATCGCGGTCGACAGCTAGTTTATAATATTAGTACTCACTTCAACGGCCTTCCTGCTGAAGAGTGGCAGATCAGCCTGCGCATATGACACTACAGACTTGAACTTATTGAATATGATCTTGCCGGAACCAAAATCATATCCGGAGGACAGCACTGCATCAGCTAAGCGAGCAGCATCCAGGAACGTGGGGGGAAGGCGACCGATCTGGTGATGTAAACATATTACATTAGCCATTACATAATTAATTTTGCGACTAAATCGAAATAAAAAAAAACTTGAAATAAACATAGCATATGTCATCCGGAGATGGAGTAACTTCTCAATTGTGAAAAAAAAAAATCAAATCGTTTTAGTACTTTCAGACCCTATACAATACAAACTATCAAATCTTTCCTATTTATTAGTCATCATCATCATCTGCTCACTATACGTCCCTACCAAAGGGCTCAGAGCCTACCCTAAGAGTGATTAGGCCATAGTCAACCACGCTGGCCCAGTGCGGGTTGGTTGACTTCACACATATCTTAGAATTTCTTCTTAAATATGTGCAGCATCACGATGTTTTCCTTCACCGTCAGAACGTCGGATAAATGTACATATGTAAATCGGAAATGAAAAAACACATTTGTACATGGCAGGATTCGAACCCAGGACCTGCAGATTGCAAGTCAAGTGCTTGAACCCTGAGCCACCGACGCTCCTTTAATTTATTAGTATAGATATATAACTATTTACATAGATTGAGTCAATATAAGTTATTTTCCACCAAAATTAGACTTAATTCATGATTTTAGCATTCAATAAGACTACGAGTTTAATTCTCAGTATTCTGTCCACCAGGCAGCTGCTCAACCACACCCTATCCTAAAGCCTATGCATATCAACACCAATTATTTCCAGATATTACCTCATTAGCAACACTAATGATGTGCTTCCCATACAACCGCTGCAGGATACCACGGGACTTGTCCCCCACGCAGATCACCTTGATGTTCTCCGCACCCGGCTCGTTCAAACGGTTTCGGATCACTTTTGACACACCAGTGTGCACCGCACCGCACAGACCTACAAAGTTTTATACATGTAAAGAGTATTTAAAGAAAAATTATTAATTAGTAGTAAAGATTTTGGTATAGTTGTTTTCAAATATATTGGCAGCTTAAAATATGGCACAATACACATAATACGTATTGTTTAATGTAGACATAAAGAGATGAAGGTGGAGGACACTGCGCTACATGCAGATCAACTTGAGGGTAAAAAAGCTTGAAACGGCTCACTGAAATTCACAAGCGGTATTGCCATGGCTGGAAATAAATCACCATTCATCCCCACTGAGGGGCTCGGACCCTACAAATCAAGGATGACTAGGCCATAGTCAATCATGCTGGCCAAATGCGGGTTGGTTTCTTCTCAGATATGGAAATAAGTATGATTCCCTTATCAACTCATTAATTCCACAACAGTTCCACACATTCAAAGTTGGCACTGATACAGAATACAGTCTGGTGTAGCACATGTGATACTTTTCACCTTTTTTTTAATACTGTGCAAACAGAAATACAGGCAAAAACTAGTATTTATATAAAACAATCAATGTTAATTGTTTTTATACTATATTTTGATGATACCAAAGGTTTTTATTAGTATAAAAAATACTCACCCCTGTCAGAAGTCATGGCGATGTAAAGTTGCTTGGGCTCATCTTCTGGTTGTGCTACCTGGACATACACAAATATTCAATTTAATTTTGCTTTAACAATTGCAATTTTACTATCACATTACCTTGCTTTTCATAATAGCAATTACTGCTCGTATTTTTCTTGTATATTTATTGCAAATTTTACTCTTACTATGTCTAAATTTGATTATTATTTTCACTTCACATATTTGTTGCACCTATAACTAACCTCAGCCCTTTCGTAGAAGAGTACAGCGCCCTCACCATATGGACGGGCTGCTTTTAAATCACGTTCAGCACGAGTATATCTGAAATTAATTATTATTAATGTGAATTTGCATTACTAAAATACATATCTTGGCTCCTCAAGGTCATTTGTGCACTGGGCAGTGCCCACTTCCTCATAACTTCAGATCATACAGTTAGATGTTGTGGGTTCTCATTTGATTTTCCGAGCCGTTAAGCTGTATAATAAATAAACAATAATCTTATAACATCTAATATATGTACTGTAGAAAATCTATGTAAAATAACATTCTTGGCAACAAATTCTAACTTTTTTACACTAACCAATTAGGTGTTTTGATGCTTTACATTGTTATTGATAGTTATTTCATCAACTATTTTTTCATCTAACATTGGACGAAAAAATGTACCCATTTTAGTTTACTTCTCAAGGCGTTGTTCAAAGGATCTTTTCTGAACATAATTACATTTAATTGGAAAGGTTATTTTTTATATTTGTAGAATTACGATTGTCATTATTTTCCTTAGTTACGATTAGCTTTTTTTTGTTACACTTACTTAGCAGCTGACACCATCTTCATAGATTGGGTAATCTTTTGGATGTTCTTTACTGACTTCAAACGAATGGAAATGGCTTTCAAAGTGGCCATGTTACGTGTCTGCTGATTGTTGACCACCATGGTCACCTGGGTGCAGACACCAGGCGCTAAACGGCCCAACATTTTTACGGTCCTGTATAACAACAAATTAATTATCAGATACCAGGTTATGCCGAAGTTATGTAAGACTGTCAGTGAAGGTTGCAAATTTGTTATCTTCGAATACGATGACACAACACATTATTTAATTAAGAATTATTTTTAAATAGAAAATTTAATGATTATTCAACGGAATACATACTTTTTAATTCTTTTTGGCCAAATACAGTAACGCCAGCCGACAAAAATGTCGCTGGTCCAGACAAGAAGACGTCGTCGTTCTTTGTCTGTGATACCAGCGCAAAAATATGATAATATGCAGATATTCTTTTACAGGTCTCAATATTGTAAGCTTGTATTTTTTCGAGTTATAACAATACTTTACGAAAAACTTAACTTCTTAACTTCATTATTGAAATGGTACTGGGTTTCAATGGTTCTTAAAGTCGCACTTTTTTCTGTTTTCTTGTTTTCTGGTTTATTTACTATAAACAAAGTTTAATCAATATCTAGAAGTGGAGTAGAATTTTTAAATTTCTACAGTTAAGTCCCAAAGAGGATGTAAAATAAGTCCGCACAGTTTTTTTACAGTGGCAGTAAGGCTCAAAACTCATTACTTATAAAAAGCTATTAGTCATTTAGTGTCAACTGTCAAATTCTTGTCATTTTGATTTTAAACAACAATTCCTTTGTGACTGTGATTCATTCTTTAATTTAAAACAAAAATTACAATGCCTGCACCAGAGCAAAATACACAAAGCAATACTCAAGGAAGTGTGGAACCGCCAACAAGGGAAATAAGTCAAACTGATCATATGAACAAGAAATTATTGACTTCTCTCTTTAAACGGCTGAACGAAGGGGGTGATTCAATATTAGAAAAAATGTTGGAACCGGACAATAATAGTGAAGAAAACGACGAGTGGAAAGATTAATTCTACTACTTTAGTATAATCGTATATTTTTAAATGTATTAATATGCAGTTTTAAAATAATTATAAACTTTTTTCTTTGACTTTGTGATGACAACTTTAACAATTGTTATTTTATTAAAAATTAAATAATAGCTTTTAAAAGATACATTTTCATTAACTTAATATCCTTATAAGGTTTACTAGACTAGATTCATGATTTACCATTTTTCTGACATTAAAATCTCTGTATAAAACATATCGTCATCCATGTCATTATCTTTGACAAAACCGAAATAAATTAAATCTGGATTTTGCTCTCGAAACTTGGTAACTTTGGTACTTTGTGTAAAATAAAACATCTCTCATTATACAACTATATATTTTCAACTAAAGTTAAGCTAAAAACAAACATTATTGGTGAGATTTTCTTAATTAATACCAATAAGATTTTGCTGGGACTCTATCTTCTTTGATACCCATAGATTCCATTATATCCATTTCAAATGTTGCCAGTTTCGGCTGAAAGGTGATCTGAAAACAGTATTAAAAAAATTATAACACAATCTATGGTCTGTTTTAACACATGAGTTAAGTAAATTAAACCTTAAGAGATAACTATACAATAAAATAGTCATTCTCTCATTCTCTAATGTTCTAAAACCTCCATCCCTAGAACTCCAACTTGTATTGCTTTTTATTCTCTTTGGCAAAACCGAGACAATAATATGGACATTGAAACTAGGATTAGCGAGAATCCTCTACAAGCATCATTATCCAGTCACAACCTCCATAAGCGAGAAAATTGGGTCAGGGAAACCTCTATAAGCTAGAAATATATTAGTCAACTGTATTAATGCAAGTGACTGCAGTCTAAATCCTTTGTAATGTAAACTCACCTATGAAACTAATATTAGGTTAACTGTGGTTTTCTGAGACTAAAATCACTGTCTAAAACTGTAAACTATCTCTGTTTTAAACCAAAATTTCGATTTTAGAAACCCATGATGACATTAATTATGAGGTTTTTATTAAATTGACACTTATATAAAACCATGAATTTCCATAACAAAAATAATTGTGTGCATTCAGTATTACACCAGTGGAAACCCACCATAGTCTTTTAAAAACAAACCTTTATAACATCAGCGGCTGCAGTATCTTTATGTGCATTTTCAATATACAGCGCCTTGCTTTTAAAGTCCATAGTTTCTTCCGCAGCTTTTGGTATTGGAATTATTCTGCTACTTGAAAGAGATACTCTGACCTGTCAGAAAAAACTGTTTATTGTAAATGTGTTTATATCGACATGTTATTAAAATTAAAAGACTTACTGATCAAGATATTCATTAATGAAAATGTATCATAAAAAGCACAAACTAGTTCTCGCCAGACAACCAGACTTCGCAGAGTTAAAAAGTCTCAATATAGACCTAAGTGTTCTCCCAGACTATGATCTACATGTGTACCAAATATCACCTATCCATCCACACAAACATTCGCATTTATAATATTAGTAAGATAAGTGAAGTCGGAAAGTATCAATATGTAACTATAATATGAGATTATTCATTGAAAATTATGCATAACTGGTTAATACTAAGATGTCATCATATTTGAACCTGAATAAGCAATAAACCTCTATAAGTGAGAGTCATTTTTCCAGTAATAATGGACAACCTTGATAATCAAGAAACTTGGCTCAGAAACCTCTATGAAAAAAAATCTCTGTAGTCCTTTAGTCTTGTTTATTCAGGTTCAAATGTTATAGATAAATTAAATTATACTAACTTTATCCCCTTCTTCAGTATATCTCCATTCTATGTCTGTAGCTTTCAATGTCTCAGGATCCACCAGTTTCACTCCAGTGGTGACCAGGAGAGGTGCTTCAGATTGTATTGTTACTCCGGGGAATTTTTTATCTTTGCCAACCTCAAAACATAGACAAAATATTACTTTTTACAGCACAAATAAGAAGAATTCACTTTTACCAAATTGAGAAAGTGGTTAACAGTGGTAGAACTTGATTTAACATCTCAACCAAACCGGCTAACGGTTTGAAAAGACAGGCTTGACGTGGAATAAATTCTGCCTATATCGCCTACAAGAAATAAAAATAGCCTACTTATTCCAGTCTGGCACTTCAGGGTATGAAAATTATAGTAGCATTGGACATGAGTAACTTACAGTTCGTAAATGTGTATTCAGCCCTTCAACAAAGACCCAGTTACGCTCCTGTACGACTTGGTTTATGATCCCCTGCTTGCCTTTATCTCTTCCTACCATTATTTCAACACGGTCACCCCTGAATTAGACAAAATTAATGTTAAAAATATAATTGGTCTATTTATATCATGCACTTAATGTATGTAGTGTACGAAATTACTTGAAAAAGGTCCATTCTCCGACAGGTTCTAAGAAAACCTTCTTCCTGTATTTATTTGGCTCGTTGTCTCGTCTAAACTGTCCGGTCCAAGGCCTATGTGTAGTGAAACGATACTTCTTACGCGCGACTTGTGCTGCGGGATATTGTGGATAACCTTTTGGATTCCTCCAATAGACCTTTGAAAATAAAAAATAAAGAATTGAAGGTTATGTCTTCCTAGAATTTTTATTTACGATTACTAAATACCTGTTCATAGCTTCTCTTTATGTATGATTCTGGTAAATTCGAATATTTGATCGTTAATTCGCCAACTTTCTTCCCCAAATAGCTAAATATTCTCATTTTGAAGACAATATTTTACATTACTTGGGTCAAAATGTCAGTTTTCTAATTGTCAGTGTCACTTGGAAATCAAAACCTCTTGGGAAAAATCACAGAGGGAAAATATTTTATGGTATTAAATATTGCCATATTCTTATTACGTAATATTTAATCACAGCAAAAAGGGGGTGTTAAGTGGATGTTTTTCAATAATTGATTGATAAACAACAATACATTTGTAAATCGTAAGATGTAACCACTGTGAACGAAAACTACGAAATAATTCCAACATCAAGGAGGTAGTTTTTATAAATGAAGAGTTTGATAAGTTACGGCACCTTATATCGCTCTAATCTTCTTTCTCAAACATCAAAATACTATACATCCACCTAAAATTCATGTGTCTTACATATTTTGCCCTTATTTTTCAGTAGTTTAATATTAACCACAGGTTAATAAAACCACTGAAATCTTACAGACAGAAAATAAAAAAATAATTTAAAAAGTATGACCATGTCTCTTTCATAGACAATTGACGTAAATCAGCTGTCCAATATCAGTTGTTATAGGTGGCAGCACAGCATCACGTGAATTTTCATGGCGGTGTTGTAGGGCTAGTCCCGTATAGTCTTGTGATTTCACCAAAAATCTGCTGTTTCGATTATTTAGTGTTAAACAGCAATTTTTTTTGAATACCGGGTGAGTATCATAGGGTGTTCAAGCTTGTGGCATGTGAATTTAGGCCGTGGGAGACATTTGCGCGCGATTGTATATTGTCAAAATTGATGTGACTGTCGTTCTATGGGGTGGTTTGGGGTGTAATTTCGAGCGAGACGAGACGGGCGCCAGGATGTCTGGCGTCAGGTTTGGCGCCGATGGCCAAAACTGTATTGATTTACTGCAATAGTCGACATAACATGAAATTGGTCTTTGAATACCATATCACTCCCTGCGGTTAAGAATGGACGTCCTGCAAAATCGATTATTATAACAAGACGATGTGAATCAGAGTTGTTAAGGATGTTGAAACCGCTAGATATTTATGGTTGGTTAATATTGCGCTATTTCCAAGGTCGATTATTATACTGTTAACTTTTCCAGTGGTGAAGATGAGTGAATACTGGTTAATTAGTGCCCCCGGCGACAAGACATGCCAACAGACGTGGGACACCCTCAACAATGCCACCAAATCTGGCAACCTCAGTGTCAACTATAAATTTCCAATTCCTGACCTGAAGGTAAGTCAATTTCATTCATATATATAGTTATGATAACTTTCCGATTGGCTTTATTTATGTAATTACATTATCCAATAAAACTAATGATCTAACAGACATTCCTTTAAAATTTAAGTTGTATGAGTCTTATTTTTTCTTAATTTTTAAATTGATCAGGACAGAAGATAGTCTTGTTAAATATTTCATACATGATTCATATTAAGTTTTTTAACTTGAAGTATTCAGACCATTAATTAAATATTTATATACTGAAACACTGTCATATATTATATCATCTCATCTAATCTAATGAGGTACAAAAACAAATTATTAATACAGGGAAGACTTAAGACCAAACATTTCCATTTTAATAACAATGTGGGTTTACATTATTTTATAATATTTTATTTTAGTATGACTAGATTATTCCTGAAAGGGTCTCTATGTCATATTTTTAGAAAGTAACTAAAATATTATCAACCAGATATGGTCAATTAGACCAAAGATTTTATGTTTACTGAAAAACTCATGTTCATTTCATAAATATCATATTTTATTACAAAGAAATCATAAAATTGGAATTCTTATACCTATTTATAATAGTGTGAATATTGCATCTAAACATCCTACACTCTATCTTACTTCTTACTTAATCTTACTAATATTATAAATGCAAATGTTTAGATGGACGGATGTTTGTTTGAAAGTATCTCTAGAACCGCTCAACGGATTTTGATGAAATTTACACAGATGTAGAACATAGTCTGGAAGAACACATAGGCTACTTATTATTTTTTATTTAATTCAATATGGACCGAGTCGCAGGCGACAGCTAGTTTTGCATATTTATATGTTTTGCCTTGCTGTGATACACTGGAAAAGTAACAATAGTGTCTTATGCCACCCTCGGTATAGACCAATATACACATTTAGTAAACTTACTAATTTTTGTACTTTATCTTATCTTTTTTATGTAAGTAGACACTCAAATATGTCATTCAGTAATCACATACATTACAGTTCACAGTAAAAGAGGTGAAAAATCAATTTATTTTATTAATGTACACTAGCTAACGACCGCAACTCTGTCTGTGCAGAATTAAAAAGAAAATTAGTAGCCTATGTGTGCATTCAAGCTATGTTCTACATCAATGCCAAATATCAGCAAGAGCCATGCAGCCTTTATTGAGTTACCTTCAAATTTCCATCCATCCATCTAAACATTCACATTTATAATATTAGTGAGATTTTATAGTAAGTTGTTTCAAACTAACCCAAATGTTAGTGGAGAAATCTTGTAATGTAACATAAAAAGAGATAAAAAGTCATAATTAATAGTGTTTAAGACAAGTAAAAAGTTGTATGGTTTCTCTATTAAAGTCTTAATATGTTATGAACTAGGGACATGCCTAATAGAATGTATGCCTTGCATGGGAGATTTATTTTTAAACATTTTAATGACATTTCATTCATCAAATTCTATTCAGTCAGTCATGTTTGGGCATACAAAGCAACTTATATAAAAACTTATTTGTTAAATTACCTCTTTGAATAATTTTTGATGTATATTTTCTTAGGTGGGAACACTGGATCAGTTGGTGGGGCTGTCAGATGACTTAGGAAAGCTGGATACCTTCGTGGAGAGTGTGACAAGGAAGGTGGCCCAGTATCTTGGAGAGGTTTGTTTTTTAATATATAAAAAAAATATTGTGCGTCTGGTTTTGTGCATGTCCATGGGAATCGATGATCACCTTGGTGTTCCCGCCCTTGTGTGCTTTATTAAAAATATTTACAAAAGTGAAGAATGTCGAAGTTATTTCAAGAAATACTTAAAATATTTTAACTTTTGTCTTTAAACTGTAATATGTACTTATTAGTATGATTTGAGAAAATAAAGTTCTCAAAAGACAGTAATGCATCTGCGGTTTCTCTAGTATTGCTGATGTCCATGGGCGTCGTTAAACACAGAGGTTCCCCCGGCTTGTTTGCCCTCTTATTTTACAATAAAAATTAGTGGAAAACTTATTCTTTATTATTTCTTTAATTTATCAGGTTCTTGAAGATCAACGTGACAAGCTCCATGAAAATCTGATGGCCAACAATAGTAAGTATTATTTTGTTTGTATAATTCATTTAATAATTTACTATGGCACTAAACATTTTGATAAATTTGTTTCCTTAGATGTTTTGTTTAGTGCCATCTAGTTGGATTTTTGGTAATTCAAACATTAAAATAGGATTCATTAGAAAGATGTCATTAAAATGATTGAAAAATGTAAAATTTTGCATGTCGATGATATAAATAAGATCTAGCATGAGTGGAATAGAAACAAGGCTATGTTTAAACCCGAAAATGGTGTTGCTAGCATGAAAAAAAAACTAATTATGATACATAGAAATGATGTAGAGGAAAATTAAAAGCACACAGTAGTGCGATATATTTTTATTATAGCATGTCTTGCTGAATATCCGTGGTTCGTTTATTTTTTTTTGTTTTTTTTTTTTCAAATTTTATGACTTTTTTTTTTCGTTTTATATAAAAAGTTTTTTTATATTTTGCATGTAACCCTTTACTTTTTTGGTCACATTTACTCACGCATTTCTCAGCTGCCATAACATCATAAATACACTGCACATATAAACATTTAATTTGTACATAATCTATGCAAACAGATTAAATAACACGTTTACAGTTCATTAGTGAATTCAAATAAAAATATAAATTTACACTATGAAGGTATTAATGTCATTGTTAATGGAAGAAATATAGTTAAAAATAAATGGTATGGAACAAAATATAACATTTTTTTATTTTTTTTATATCGTTATCTTTTCGATCGGATACATTTTAAGTTTTTTTTTAAATTGGCGATGACATTTTTAGTTTCAGTTTACAGAATTTGCTCGAAATTGACAAATCTTCTCTCTTTTTACAAAAAAAAACTCACGAAAATATCTCTTTTAAGTTTCCATTTTAACGTTTACATTACTTACAATATAGTTAAGTTTTATTTATATCCAAGCATAAAAATGTAGCAAAAAAATTTTGGAAAAAAAAATCGTACCATTGTTTTTTTTTAAACAATTCTTCGTTCTGAAAACCATTTTTTACTGGCATGCTACAAAATTGGCAGAGAAGCTTTGTCCTATCATACATTGCACCGTAAAAAAAAGCTAAGAATGTTGCGTGGACAGTGTTTTACACCGGGGTTCGTTTATTTAAGACTATTTGGAACCCAATGTACATTTTGCATACTCTGTGTATATTGTATATATGTATGTGAGAGATATTTTGTTGTTGCACTTTTATCTATGGATTTTTGAACATTTAAATTGTCTTTTGAGCTACGATCGCTTATTTCAGATGAATTTTGACGAAGCTTGCAAGATTTGATTACTAAATTTTTTACTTATTCTAATATTTTTTAATGTCATCAACAAAAATTGAATGGACTACAATTTTTTTTTTCATTTTTTTTGAAAAAAAATTTATACTCTATGAAAAAATTTTTGAGGTTATATTTTTATATGCACATTATATTTACACATAATTATGCTTTTTTTTTTAAATATGATTTACGAATGGATTTTGCATTATTTTAATAGTATTTTTTTTAGAGTTTATAACTTAGATTTCATGAATGCTAGATTTGGGATTGCATTTCAGTGTCTGAAAAGTGGAAAAAAATATGCGGCAGTGAGTAAAATAGTTTGATACGATATAGTATAGCTTTTATTGCGTGGGCTTTATATCATATGTTGCCGCTATGACAACTTTAAAATATATATGTAGCCTAAAATATATGTATAAATTATTTATAAGCCATTTACTGTCTATATTTATTATATAAATATTTTATCAGATATTAAAATATGTATATGTTTTATTATAAAATCACTGTCTCTTTAAATTATTACTTTTTTTTAAAATTTTGAAATGGAATCTTTCTGAAAAATATTTTTTACTCGAGTATGTTGTAAAATATTTAAAAATAAATTGCTGAAATGTATTTTTAGACTGGTAACATTTTGATACTTTGACAGATTTTAATTTACGGTGAAACGGAACGCAAATCTTAGGTTGTTTTTTTGCAATTATGTTACAACTAGATTGTAAAATTTATGAAGGGATTCTAGTCTTTGTCGAGTTGTGCTTTGACGATATTTTAGGTTTAATAAGGAGACGGGAAGATAAAACATGGAAAACCAGTATTAACATCCTTTATGAGACAACAATGAACAGCGAAGATGAAACATGAGAAGTAGCATTGGACGAATTGTTTACCCTAGTTCATTTTACTCTTACTTTGATATTTGAATGCAGAATTATTTATGAACAGATTAATTGAACGTCTTAAAAGCTTACAAGGTACAACCAAGACGGAACTCTATGGCGTGGGGAAGATTTGTTGTTTTGTGTAAATTTTTAATGTAAAAAGTGTAGCTTTTCACTATTTTATTATTGTTTTATAATAGGTGCACAATAAACGTGTTACGTTTAACGCAGAAAAAAAAAACAAGATTTTGTCAGAAATGTAATCTGCGGTAATAAACAGAGTTGCCTGTTTAAATCCATTTTATGTACGTGACTGAGAAGAATTAATTATTAATAACGGTCTATTTCTAGTTATAATTATTATTTTTTCTATAGTTAATGTGTGTACAGTTTAAAAACTGAATGTAACTATTTTAATTTAAGATAGATTTAGTTCTGCACAATTGTGAAGTGAGATTGATAAAATCTAAAATGTCCATAGACAATCGTAATCACTGCCTCACAAGACATTCATAGCTTAGCCATCAAGCTTTCATATTGTCTATGCTTTACGCTTCTTTACTATTATGTCTATTTTCTTTTATAATTTGTTTCGATCCTATCCTTTTACTAATTTCCTATTTTTTGTTCCGGTTGAGTCGTGAGGCGATACGTTTATCGATTCCGCGATATATAGATTCGTGCACTACATGCATATTCAAAATTATTCGGAGCGTAAATTGGCATAAAGTGGTTTAGACTAGTCTTGTTCTATGAGATTAATACTAGAACAGTCTAAATATTTTACAGAGTCGATAACAAATACGCAATACAGAATGCCGATACATAAAAACACGCTCCTCGGCCAGATTGTTAATGTCGCTAGGGCGAAAGTTAAAAGGGCGGTTGGGTTGACGCGATCGCCTCGGACAAAGTCGGCTACACCAACGCCCTCTGTGCGGACCGCAGGCGAGACGTGCGGTGACCCCGGGGGGGGCGAGCCTCCCCCCACGCCGACGTCGCCGGTCTGCGACTCGGCGTACTCTGACCAGCACGGCTGTTGGCCCTGTGAACACCACCAGCACTCTGAGGGCGAGGCCTCGCAGCCCTCGAGCGGTCGCTGCTCGCCGCGCTGGGACGAAGAGGACGACGACGAACGGACGCATCATATCCTCACCCAAGGCCAGGACCGACCGTACCCCAAACCCCATATCCCTAGTCCACAAATTTGATCGGAATTTGAGGCTACTCGCTTACCTCGCCACATTTTTATTAACCCTTTTAATCCGTAGTTGCCCAAGTCTCAAATACTGCTCAAATCGCTCGTTCAGGCTCATAAAATGCTATATATGTAGTTCAAAACGAAACTAGCCAAGTTTTCGTTTTTGCTAGCGCTGCCTGTCGACATGTTTTTGTTTCTTTTTTTTTATAAGGTACATTCGTGTAGGTTGTGATGGCAGTGATTGCGTTTCGTTTTACATTGTAAATTAGTCGTTAAATTAATTTTAGGTATTTGAATTTGGAATTGAGCAGGTGGCGCTGGTAGCGCTGTTTGTGCGCCATTTTAGTTTTTTATTCTAAATGTCAAACGTCAATTGTCTCGTTGACGTTTGTTGCAATGCTACACAGTTCATGTAAAGGGCTAGGTAAATCCAAGTCACAGATCTTTTGTTGTGTCAAATGTATTGTTATTACGGCTAATGATGTAATTTGGGCTGATATTTATAAATAAAAATTATTTTATAGTAAAGCAACACTTAAAAAAAATGTAATTTTTTAATTTATAAATATTTGCCTATAAAACATCTTTATAGAGGGCATTTTGTGATACTAGTATTGTTTAGTTAAAATTTACTTGTAAGTTTTTTTTATATAAATTCTATAAATACCCTCGCCTTAACACGCTTACAAAATTTATATATTAATGTAGCTTAAGTAAATCTCGCTTTTTATGTCTATGCAAA